CAGGGGGATAAAATTAATAAATGTTAATGCAATGTAAAAATAAAGGCATTGTTTTGTTATTGCTTTAATTCAGTACTGCAGCCACTGCTGGATCTACTCTCCTTCTTTCATATAACAGAACCCAAAGTTTGCTCGTGGAGGTGACATGCTTAGCTTCTCTTGCAGATGACTGGCTGTGTGACACAACCCTGGCTGAGGACATATAAGCAGAAATCAGTGGATGAAGCATCTCAGAAAGCTCTCTGAAGGACAGACTCTTGGTTTGGATTGGAATGTATTTTTTCCCTTCCTGTTTCCTTCTGCCTGAAACTGGGTAGCGATGCTGAGATGGGCAGCCATTTTTGAGATTATGAGGTGACAGGAGTGGACAGAGGGGTCTGGATTCCTTGTGGCATCATGGCCACATCACTCTAGTCCTAGGCATCCTACCACAATCCTTTGGTTATATGAACAAAATTCTACCTGGTTAAACCTATATAATTCAAACGTTCTGTTTCCTTTCACTTATAATCATAATTAATACAATCCCTTGGGGATAAAATTCCCACCTTCAAGTGACCACAGATTTACTCTATAGCTTTCTTCCCAGGAAACAGACCCAATTCTAATCTTTGGGACCCCTGGTTTACCTGGCAGCCTTGTTCATACTTAATGTCACTTTAGACATCACCTACTATCTTCTGTTTTTGTTGTTGTTGTTTCTTTCCCTAAAAAGAGTTAAGGTACAAGCCAGGAAGAAGGTGGGTTTAGGATTACAAGGTCACAAGATTATGCCAAAGCACAATTTTTCAGCCAGGCTGAAATGACCAACAACACTAGGAACAAACGTAACCTTCCACAGGGAACCTGGCACTAGATTCTCAATCCTCTGGGTTGAGCCTGGGCCGGACTGAACACACTACAGAAAAGGGACCCCACTGAAGCAAGGAGGAAGGCTCTGAGGAGATCTCTGGAGAAGAAACTTCCAAGACAGCAAGTGGAAGGTTAATCGAGCAAACATCAAACAAGAATTTCAGTTGGGTGTGTCTGGGCCAGTCATATCACATTTTCACTCTGCGCTCCTTTCAGAACATTAACAATGGTCTCTTTATTCACACTAGTAAGTGCCGGAAGAGGGGCAGCTTTACAGTGGGAGAGAGACTCTGAAGGGCAAAGGGACTTGTCCTCCGAAACAATCTTCTGCATGTCCACTCAGCTTCTTTCTTTGCCTAACATCACCATTTCCTCCGAGGTGAAAACTTGGAACCTCGGTAAATACCATACATGCAGAAGAGGATTTTACACAGTGAAGATGTGGTCCCTTCCCTAAGATGACTTTCATTCAGGATCAAGGAAGGGGAAGCTTGGCCTCCACACCCTCTGTGAGTAGCACGCATGGAGAGACTCATAGTGGCCCCTCTACATCCACAGACAGAGCCCATCACCCTACTGGGAATTCTCTGCAGGAGACCCCCGTGATGGGAGTCTTCAAGTGTCTAACAAGGCAGAAGTCAACACCATCAACCAGAAGAATACAAATGTAGCTCCCAGGCTCAGGGTTACTCCCAGAAAAGAGGTTCTCTAGTCTTATCAGAAATAGTTATATAAGTGGTTGTGCAATTTGTCAAGCTGACTGTGCCCCAGACTCAAGTCTTTGGTTGTCAGTATACAAAACCTTAATTACAACTCAGGAGTAGGTTCAAGAGGTCACCTGTACAGCTTTGTCATAGGTAATAACGCATCCTGCATGCTTAAATTGATGATAGAGTTGAAGAGTTTTCCATCATATAAAAACTAGGCATGGGAAGTAATACATGTAAATCACCTTGATTTGGCCATTCCAAAGGGGGGGAGCCTTTCTGAGACAGGGTCTCACTAATGCAGTTCAGTCTGGTCTTGAGCTCACTTTGTAGCTCAAGTTAGTCTCAAACTTGCAATGAACCTCTTGTCTCACCTTACCCAGTGCTGGGATTATACGGGTGTGCCACCATGTCCAGCGAGAACATACATATTTTAAAACATGATGATTGCACATACTATCACTTTGGTTAATAAAAAAATAAAATTAAAAGCCATTTGCACAGATAATACTTATTGAACAAAGTTATATTAAAGATAAGTCAAAAATGCAAAGCGCCTGGAAAACAAAAGCAATTCCCTACGTATATATATGACAATGCAGCTACCAACATGAAGGCCTCATATAAGAAAGGAAGGAAAATATTATCTTCTAGTTGCCTCTTGGTTTTTCCAGTTGAAAGGGCTCCTGATATATTAGCTGTTTCATCTCTTTAATGTCCTTCTAAGAGCAGGAAGAGATGATCAGAGGGATCCAGAATCAGGTCCTAGATATACTCACATCTTAGCCTTTGCCAACAGACTCTCATGATGGGAGGGGAGGGGAGAAAGTGGACACCAGGCATCCGATGACTAATACATAGAAAACATTTTGGGAAATGTTGGCTGCAACCTACTTAGGAAGCTGGAGTGTGAGGAGGCTCAAGGGCAGGGTGGGGACCAATGCTTCCCTGAGGTGGGGATTTCATCTGGAGAGCTGCTGAGGGACCTGTGAAAAACTCAGAGGCTGCAGCTTACACAGTGACTCAGTTTCAGTCTGGGGCTCTTCCCTCACTGCAGCGTTGCCCTGTGCATATCATTATCAGCCAAGTGATCGTCAAGCCTCCTCAAGATGTGTGGGTCACATGGCTCAGGGGGGATGAGTGAAATTCCTGCCTGGCTTGGGGCAGCTGGCATGCACTGGTGTCCTATCTCCCAGGACCCCACAGGTCCCTCAACAGTCTCCTTTCAGCCTTCCTCCCCCACTTCTGCTTACTTCACCCACAAATCCACATGCCACGTCATCCCTGTTCTTAGGCACATTCTAGGCCCCACACCACTTCTCAGTGAGGGATGAAAAGCATTTAACATTTGCCTGGTCAGATTTTGGTCCTTCTTTGTTCCTTTTCCTTGCTATCCCCATTTATACCTTTTAAACTAAAAATGTCTATCTTGTGCCGTTAAATGTTAAAAGTGTTTAATTTTCTTTTCATTGATACAGGAGCTTGGAGGTAAGACTGCACTAAATCTCAGAGAAGATTCTAGAGGGAGGCAGGAGGGTCAGGGTCATTCGAGATGTGTCCCCAGGAGCAGAGGTCAGAGGAGACAACTAGAAGATGCTATCTGATTGGCTTTGAAGATGGAGGAAACCACAGAAGACAGTCAATATCTAGGAGCTGCAAAGGACAAGAAAAGGAAGTCTCCCCTACAGCTCTGCTGATCCTTTGATGAGACTGTGGTAAGGCCCTCAGAACTACAGGGTAACAAATTTGAGTTGTTTTAAGTCTGTATGTTTGTGAGTATTTGTTATAGAAGCAACAGAGAACTAACACAGCTTGCTAACACAAATGTATGGATTACAGCATGTCAGAACAGGGGAGTTCCTTGTGTGCAAACATAGCTCCGCCAGGGCCCGCTGTGCTCATGCTCCTCACCTCCCCTCCCAGTCGAGTCCTGGTCTTGACCCTGCTCGGACCAGCACCTGTTAGCATCTATCTCACCTCAGACCCCAGATGTACTTCCTGCTAACAAAACCCCTCACTTTTGAGTAAAGGTTTCAGCACAGGACACAAATAGACTCTCTCCATTCTCCTTCGTTTCCTACTCCTTCTTCCTGGGTAGCAGGGAGGGGGGATATTCTAATCTAAACCCCAGCATTCACAGAGAGATGGCTGCAAACCCAGGTTAGAGGCAGGTGGTTCAACATCTTGGAGAGAAAGTAGTTCACTGGCACAATCAGCATGGGAATCATGTGCTAAGCATTATGCCCAGGTCCTTTCTTTCAGTACAAACTCAGAGATTCCATGCATGTCCCCGAGGGCAAAGACTCCAATGCACAATCTAAAGTATGTGACCTTAAAAAGATATCTCCATCTGCCTCTTGCCCTGGTCATGACAGGAATCAAGATAAATACCAGGTTACAAATTTCCTCTCACAAAATAATTGTGGTATTATTGTTCACCCTTGATTTGGTACCTTAAGTGTTTTAGTAGAGTTCCTCATGTGGGACACAACCCAGGGTTGCTCAAGAGGCTGCTTGTGTGGGGCATGCCCAGGAATACGACAGCTTAAAGCACAAAGAAGCAGACAGGCAGGGTTGGAGGTGGCAGCCACTGCCAGCAGTGAGCACACCACTGCTGTACCACTGAAGTGTGACTGGGCCACAGAGTTAGCAAGCAAGTCACACTAGGAGGACATGAATTTTCTTAAATTTCTCTTTTTAAGACTTAGATGAAAACATCTCACATCTCCTCAGAGAACAGTTGTGCCTTGTCAGTTCCAGTGCACAGGAAATTCTCATAATCATGGGTCAAACTGAAAAAATAAGCACTACTCACAAGGAGACCTTTTTGGGGACCATGAGCCTCAGAGAAAGCTGTCATCAGCTCCTTCCTGTACCTTGCACATTTCAAAATACACACAAAGGAAAGAAGTCAATCATGAAACGCCAAATATTACATGATTCTATTTTCTATGAGGTATTTAAGAGCAGTCAGATTCATAGAGAGAAAAGCACCATGGTAAGTTGTCCATAGTTGGAATGGGGAGTTCATGTTTAATGGTGGATTTGAGTTTGGAAAGAAGAGAAACTTCTAAAGATGGATGGAGGTGATGGCTGCAGACAGTACTTATGCTGCCCAACTGTACACTCAGTAATGGTTAAAAACAGTAAAGTCTATGCTATAATTATTTTATATTAAAATCCCATAAACATACATGCACACGTACACATAACATAAGTCCAGCAACCATTGTTTATTCCACTGGTTCTCAGGCATAAACACCTAAAATATGTTATATTCTCCATAGAGCCTTTCACTAGTTGTAAAGAAATAGAGAAACAGGTATCCTGTGGTGCTTCCAGCACTAGAAGCCACCAGCCTTTCCCTGAGAACAAGTAAGGCTCCACTACAGCCACATAGTGGCTTGCAAGCTCACTGGAGCTGGAGGAGGGGCAGCCTACCTTGTTTGGAAGTGCTGCTGCAGGTCACAGCGTTGCAGCGTCTGGTTACACTGCTCCGTGAAAGGACAAGTCACCAGTAGCTTGTTGACAAGCTTATTGACCAGGATGCTGGACTTCTTGCAATGCTGCAGGACAACGCGCTTGCGGTCCACAGGGCAAAAGTCCTTTTCCACCAGGAAGTTGGTGAGGCAAAGGCTGCAATAGGTGTGTCCACATGGAGTGTCCAGGGGTTCCAGGAAGGCCTGCAGGCAGATGTGGCATATGAGGTCATCGTCCACTTCTGCTACATAGGTGTAACAGTGGTTCTCTTCAAGGGCGTGGACTTGGCCACACACCCTGCATAGGGGGTTGGCCTGGGGATCTGGGTCATCAGCAGCGTCTGGTTGGTTCATGGTTGTCTGGAAACAGTTTGGCAGGAGACTCAGGACAATGGTATTTCTTCAGGAGGAAGAATCAGGATCTTACGGGGTGATCTGCAAATGTAACAGAGAACAAGATGACTTTGCCTCGCAGCACACAGAAAAATTATCGTTATATCAGCAGCAGTGTTGCCAATGGGCATGGACTGAGCTATCGCTCAGAAAGCCGAGGGTTAGTGTTCACTCGGGAGTGACTGGTAGGGTCTTAGATGAGTGACTTTGGCTTGCCATGCCCAGCTTTGCCACTCATTTGAATGGGAACAATGTTTACTTTGAACATCTCCATGCTGGTGTGGTAAAAATCCTTTGACTAGTATCTGTGAAATGCTGTGAACAACTCAAAAGAAATATGCTTAAAGAAATATAATTAATCAAATTAAATAGGTATGTGACCTATGTATATGAAAGTTTGTCAGATCAGAAAAAGGAAAAAAAAAGTTAATGCTCTAATGGCTCTGTTTTATCTTATCTTCTCCAAAAATATGAAATCAGAAATAATTATAGGACATCAAAGCCTTCAACTAAACTGAGAGACGAGAGTCACTGGGTCTTCTGTATGTTTACTATGGCAGGAGCACCCTTTCATTATGCATATATTTTACTCATTCTTCATTGGCTATATGGGCTCTGAGCCTGGGTTCAAATCCCACCATCGCTGTGGACCAGTGATTTCACTTCTTGGTTCCACATCTGCAAAGGGGAGATAATAAAAGTCTACTTTCTAACACTGATATGAAGAGGAAATAACATGTTCCAGAAAGTTCTTAGATTTGTGCCTACCATTTATTTTTTTTTTACTATTTTTTTATTTATAGTAGTACTAGGTATTGAACCCAGAATCTTGGCACACATTAGGCAAGGTCCGTGTCACTGAGTTACTACTCCAATCCTTTTAGAGATAGAGTCTTGCGAAGTTGTCCTTGGAAGCCTTAAACTTTTGATACTCCTCCAAGTAGCTAAGATTATAATTGTGCACCATTATACCTGGCTTGTGCCCTGTGCTTAACTGTACAGTGAAGAGTGGTTACTATCCTCACATGTATTTGTTATAGATTCATGTTTCCAGTCTAGCTTTATTGGCTAGGAAACTTAAAAACCTAATTTCTAGAAGGGGATCGCTTAACTTTGTTCTAATAGGGCTGTTTTATTATGAATTTCCTATGAGTCAGTAGAACACTACCACTATGTCTAATATAGAAATAATGGAGCTTTTTGACATATTTGATTCACACCAAGGAAGTCTCATGGATAGTCAGTCAATAAATATCTTTCAAGCCACAGCTGTGAGGCAGGTAGTGGGCTCAAGTGGGAACTTCCAAGACAGTCATGAGGGATGTACCTGTCCCCTCTCAGGGGACACCCTGTCCAGGGAGAAGGTGAATATACATACAGCCAAGCAGGGGCCCAGGTAAGCAGCCCTGGGTCAGTCCTCATGACAAGTGAAAATTCTGCCTCCTCCTCACCCCCAACTCAACTTTTTTATTTTCCAAATGCAAATACGAAGATCTTAAGCTTTCCACAAGAACATGAATAACATAACAGGAAACTAGCCACATGTGGAAATAGCATGGCAGTCATAAACTGTGCTACATCTTTTCTTTTCCAAATAAAGTCTGAGGTTGTTTGTACAAACACAAACTTATCTCAAAAAAATTACACTGACTTCAAACTTTCATTGAGTCAGCCCCATTGTTTACATTTCTGTACTGTGCGAGTGTGCTTGGAAGAATGTTCTAGAGGAGGCGTTGAGGCTGATGGCTGACTGTGAAAACACTTTGAAATCACAGCATCAGACAAGACCACACAAGACAAAGGTAGAGGGTACAGGGAAGGGGTGAAGTGGTTTCTAGTGAGAGTTCATTGAAAACTACACAGCTGTTATTTGTCCTTGTAGAGAAGGTACTGGAACCTCACAGGAAATGCTTCAAATAATGCCATAAATATGAAAATAGAAACAGCCACCCAAAAGGTTATCGCCCACTAATGGGGGAAGGAAAAGTGTTCACATGTGGTGACCTGAAGCTTAGATCAGTGGCAGCAAACCACAGCACGCGTGCTGCTGTGGACTGTTTGTGTCACTGAAAGCTCTAAAAGTTTCACTGTCACCACTCCAGGTCTTTTGGTTTCCACTGGAAGGGCTCTGTTTTGTATTCCCACATGCTCCGGGCCTGCCATTTCTTCCTCCCCCGTGAGGGAAAGAGGCTGAAACAGGAAACCAGGCTGCAGCTACGGTGGTAAACTCTTCTGAGTCATTCCCTTCCCAGAGCCTGGGTTCTCAATCTGTGTTCTAGAAGGTATCAGAGGCCTCCCAGTCTCCACTGGAAGTGAACAAAGGAAGAGATAAAGGAGGGCTTGGCCGTCTCTCAGAGGTCCACAGCTAAAGGCTTGGTCTCCACGGTGGTGATGTTGAGTCCGGACTAAGTGGGAAGGCCCTGCAGATGTGTCCTCGAAAGAAACTGTGGGGACCTAGGCTGTCAGGCTCTCTCTGTGTCCTGGATTTATGAAATGATCAGTTTTCCTTTACCATATGCTACCATCACTGTCAGAGGCCCAAAGTGAAGGGGCCACCTGATCTTGCCAATCTCAGAATCATGAATCAAAATAAACCTTCTCTTTTTATAAGTCAGTTGCCTGAAATATTTCATTATAGTAATAGGAAGCTAACTAAAGTATTGCTTCTCTTGCAACCAATGTTAGTACTACATTTATTTCATTGATTCATCAGATTCCTCATAATATTATGCTCAAGGAAATTTAGTTTTTAAAAAAAAAAGCTGGGTGTGGTGGCATATGCCTGTAATCCCAGCACTTGGGAGGCTGAGGCAGGAGGATTATTGAGAGACCAACCTGGGTTACAAAATAAGCTCAAAGGCAGCCTGAACTGTATAAAGAGATCCTGTCTCAAAGAAAAGAAGAAGGAAGAAGAGGAGGAAAAAGAGGAAGAGGAGGAGGAGGAGGAGAGGAGGAAGAAACAGTAGTTGTAAACCACCAGAATAGATAAGACCTTTTTTATAGATAGAGTTCCCCGGGCTAATTAAGAGGAGTGTTTTTGTTTATTTTGTTTATTTTTGTTTTTGATGATTGAAGGTTTAGAAAGATTCTTTTTTTCTTTACTTCCTAACAGCTTCTTGAGCATATGCCATGTGTCAGGCACTCTGTTAAGAGTTTATATTACATTATTTAATCCTCTCAGCACCCAAAGGACTGTTTTGTTTTTAATTTAACTGATGAGGAAACTGAAGTGTGGTATCTAAGTAACTCTCCAGTCACACCTAAGCGCAAACCAACCAGGAAGTGCTGTCTGATGCTATTTTCTGTACTGAAGCATTTCAGCCCTGGTCTTCCTGCATCTTTCTTGATTATGACTTGTCAGAATGCCAATTATGCAGGAATCCAGTACAAAATTCCAGGGAAAAATCTCCTTAAGTCTCGTTTCAAGTAAATATGCTGAAGATTCCAGGGGAAGGCACCCCAGGATCTACAGAGCACTGAGACGCCTAAGGCAGAATGGGTGGACTGGGCCTGTGCGCGGCAGGCTGCCTCTCCAAGCCCAGCTCTTCTCCCTTCTCTTCTTTCCCTTTTCTCCTTCCTCTTTCCCTCTGTTTCTCTCTTTCTGGATCTGAGGCCAGTTTGAACTCTCTGGCACTTACCCACATAGTAAACCAATTTCTTAATGTATTACTAATGTAAACACTGCTGTATATATTTTCTGAATTTACTTTAGACTAAATAAAGCCTATGTGAATAAAAACAGATTCTGAGAAGATTAAACAAGCAGTTTGACCTCCACAGCAAAGATTTTTTAAAAATATGATTAATATCATTTACCTGGCAGTTCTTTCCAGTGCTTATGTTATAAGCACACATCATGTTTTTAAGACCTGAATAGACCTCACTCACTACTGAGCTGAGAAGAAATGCTCAAAACTCACTGACCTAAAAGGTGTCCCCTAAAAAGCAGGAGGGGGCTGTCAGCTTTGAGATCATTTACATTGACTTGGTGTCAGCCAGCAGCACTCTGGCCCTGGCTGCAGGAAGCAGAGAGAACTGTGATGTGGCTTTTGTGCAGGATATGGCCAGAAAACAGAAAAGTGGGTGCCCTCCCTGGGCATGCTTAAGGGGGGTGCATTAGGAAAAACCCCTCCGCTCCTTTCTAACTTAGAAACCCAATTTAAATTTTACAGATGCAGATCACCAGAACTGACAACACAGTGCTAACATGCTGCAGGAAAAATAAAAATCTCCATCTCAGTTTGTTGGTCATTTCTGCTTCCCTTCTCACTATTTTCTGATCTGGTCTAGATAGAAGCTATTTGGCATAATTTTCAAATTCTGAACTTCTTGGTTGCCTTAGTCTGCTCTCTACTGCTGTCACAAACACCACAGACCAGGAAACCCAGGAGCGCAGGAGTGTGGCAACATCCTAACCAGTGGAAGGGCAAGTGAGCTCCCTGGGGACTGAGCCTCCTGTTACAATGCCCTCCGAGGTCACAGCATCAGTCCATTTGATGGGGGGGGACCCTCATGGCCTCATCACCTCTTACTGCGGTCACAACGGCACAACTCAACATGAGCTTTCAGAGAGACATTCAAACCACAGCAACAAAAATACAGACCAAGGAAAGCTGCCTGTTGACCAAGAAGATCTCTGGAGATCATATGTATACCGCGGCCACACTAAATGGATTTAAGAACAGCCCTTGGAAGACAGTCCATGCAGCAGTAGCAAAATTTCTGTGTAAGACGACCTGTGAGAACAACGGACACCCTAGTGTGGTACCATATCCTTTCAAAGCATCATAGCTTTATAGAAAATGATTATATATAGGGTCAAGGATTTAGCTCAGCGGCATAAGCGCCTGTCTGGCAAGCACAAGGTCGCAAGTTTGATCCCCGGTTCAAAAAAAAAAAAAGAAAATGATCGTGTGATGTAGTTGTCACAAAAAATAGTATAGAATAAGCAACTGGATAAGATATACCATTTGGTATGATGCCCTGGTAATTTGTTTCCTCCTATTAAAGAACCAGATTTGACCCCAAATCAGCTCTTAAAC